TAACAGCCACATGGATGATGGATCATAATAACTTCATAATCTGACCCACATGCAGTAAATACAGTGATGACTGTCATTTTGAATAAGTGAGGTAGATTGACGCTGATTATTAATCCATTTCTTGGCCAGTCTGATTGTTTCTGAGCCAGCTTCTCCCCTGTTAGTACTTTCCTGAAGTATCTTGATAGCTTTTACCGACAGCCTCTTCCTTTTTAGCCAGTCACTTTTCATACTCTGTGTTGTCTTAACTTATTTGAGAGATTTCTTTCATTATTGGTCCTTTTYTAGTATTCTTGTAGCTAGAAGGTGAAATAGGCTATGAAAATGAGGACCTGGTATTTAGTGCCAGTGTCTGAAATGGCAGATGTCTTGACAGCAGACACAGAATAAATAAAGAAATGTAGTTGCCTGATAGAAATTCAGAAGCCAGCTCAGTTAGCGGTGTCATTGATAAGTTTATATGATGTTCCTGTAGAGCTGTGTATTTAACATTTGCAGTAGGATAGTATACATAACGTATTTCACAAGAAGAAAAAAAGCTTTTTGGAGGGCAATAGAGTATCCAAGCCTGGTTTTCTGTGAGTGTGTCCAACCCTTAATATCTTTTCAAGTATGCTGAGCTCTGTGCCAGTTGTCCCAGAATGACACTCAGCCTTCCCTATCTCACACCTCTTCAGCTGGGCAAATGGTTGTAAATGCTGCAATTCAGGGTGGACTGCGTGTGAGGACTGGTTAGTGGCTTGCAGCTTGCAAAATAAATGGCTAATTTTAAGTCCCTTCTTCTCAGCAATGGGTACTAATTTGTGCCTGCCTTCACAAAGCACTTGCCTGTTTTTCTGAAACTTCTGGGAGTTTAAAATCTTTTCAATCTCCAGCTAGGTCAACACAAAGATCACTTCACGCTTTAGTTATGTTAAAGCGATATTGCCCCAAACTGTTTATTTTCTGKTAGTAATAAATTCACAACATGCTGCATGCCATGAAATTGAAATGTACCTTTATCCTGATATAAATTAAATACTAAGCAAATTTAATTATGTTTAGACATATTTTCTTCCTTTTTTTGAACATCACCCACCTTTTTACCAATCATGTCTTCAAAATCCCTTCCCTTTATTGAAATAAAACATTTTGTAGAATCTGAACGTTGTGCATTTGTTTCATGTAACTAATATGGTCATGAAAGTCGGGTCTTTTATTTATACTTGGGATAATGCAGAGGTAATGAAAGCAGAATTGGACCTAAGAGGTTTTTTGTTTCAATTATAAAACAATGTGAGTAAGTGCCTTGGGTTTGACAGCAACAAAAGAAAGGGAATATTGTGCTTATGCCTTCAATCAGCTTTATTAGATCCTTAAAGGGAAAATTATGTGAAAGACAGAGGAAGAAAACAACAAGCTAAGCAAGATCCCAATTTCAGTATAATTCGGAGAAAATACTGATTTAGGTTGGTCCTCYTGCCAGGGTGAATGACTCAAGGCTTCCAAACAAGAAATGGAAACCAGAAGGATAGGGAAAGCCTGAACGAACAAATTGAGATGTGATTGACTGTAATGTTTCAAAATCAACTGCTGCAAAGATGAGTTTGGGCTCTTGCCCAGAATACAATTGAATAGTGATGTTCATTTAGACTTTTAATGCTGAAGCAAAATAAGATGTAGCTGTGTTTCTGTTAGAAATTTATTTGTTCTTTCCAGTGTCTGTAGCTAGGGATATGATGTCATGTCCTCTCTCTTCTATCAGACCCTGCMGTGATTGCTGTTGCTGCTGTTTCATAATTTTTCTGAACACCAGTTTTTTGAACAAAAGCTTGAATTCAAATGATAATATCTCTCAAATGTGTAATATCATCACTGTTTATGAACTGACTTTGAAAAATTTCATAATCTATGAGCAAATAGGCTAACTTAATGTTATTGGCCAAGCAAAACAAAAGTATAAGATCATGTATGTATGTACTTTCTGACTGGCTAAGACATTCGAGTTTTTTTTACTATCATGCTAGGTTTTTTTAATTAAGTAAATTGTTCATTCAGCAAAGTTTGAAATAACTGTACCTTTAATGGGTAAAATTTGTAAAACATTATTTTTAAAAGTTGTGGGCAGCTGCTTGTCCTCCACCTCAGGCATAGGAGGTTCTAAAAGCAACCATATTTATGCAAAAAATTAGTCAGTTGACAATAGRCAGTGATGGGATGGGATTGTCTTCTACTTCCTCCTTTCCTTTATTCCTTTCATCTCACTGGCTGTGCTTACTAACCTTTTTTCTGTTTCTATTTCAAATCAGGAAGGGAAAAAAACCCTAAACCACAGCTCATAATTAAATACTGAGCTAGTTCTTACCATGTTTACTGAATTACATATTGCATATATGGATGTATATCCTCAAAGTTTCATGTGTTTTCAGATTTCTAAACTTAATGTGTTCCATAGGAATCGACATTAACTCCTTCCTGTCTGTTTTCTCTGAGATCCTCAGAGACTGTGGAAATGTTACAAGATTTATATATCCAATAGCTGCATACATTTTGAGTGTGCAAAAGACAACCTGGAAAAGGAGCATGTCTTGTTGTATAAAGCTAGGTAATGCTGCTGTGTGTGTTTAGATCTGCTTTACACTGCATATTTCTCTGCTTATGCATCTCTTACTAATGAGAAAATCTGGACCAAGTTTGTGTCTTGCTTTTTCTAGTCAGAGCTATGCCAGTGGAGGACATTTGTTTTCCAATCCCAATCATTTGTAGTGCTAGAAATTCCAAGCAGGATGCCTGTTGTAGATATGCTTACAGGGGTTTAGACTGAGCTGAAAGGAAGAAAGTGTTTATAGGGATCTGTGTTCTTGTGGCTGATCCTGCTTGGACCTCTGTTCCAGTTTGAACTTACATTAAAACGTATGAATCACATGCTTGACATTATTTGACATTTCAAAAGCTTGCTGAATCTGCACTGTGCTCATACATAAGAATATGTATTAAGGACTAAGACGGGCCCAGGACTAAGAATAAAGACTAAGACCAGACTGGATGGGGCTCAGAGTAACCTGATCTAGTGGAAGATTCCCTGCTTACAGCAGGAAGGTTGGAACTTGATGATTTTTAAGATCCCTTCCAAYCCAACCATTCTATGACCCTATGATTCTGTGGATCCAGGGTATCTATATTGCTGCATCCATATCTATAGATATCTAGAGGTATTTCCATATCTATATTAATAGATACATAAATATATATTTGTATATTTATTTATGCTTGAAAAGTAAGGCATTGGGGAAATTCAAATTTCTGATGACTCAACGGAATTCCTTAAATCTCATACCTTCCAGTACCTTGTCTTGAAACCATCRTTGTATTAAATGCTTAAAGTATCATTTTATCATGGATTGGAGTTCATACCYTGCTTACTTCAGAGTAAGGATAAACAATATGCCCAACCTGGAGCATCTTATAAGGCCTAAATGATTTTATTTATATTGGAGAAGTTTAAGAAGAGAACTCCAGAGTAGCGTTCAAAGAAGGATGGAAAAAATGTTGTAGCATTTGTGGATTTTTAAATTCACRTGGGGAATATGAATTTAGTTGTTTTCTTTTGACATGCAGAAATTAACTATGGGAGAATCTATTCATTTCATGACTCTTTCACACTCTGCAAAAATATTTCAACATTTTAAAAAGACACAAATGCTTTGAGAATTCACTTTTTTTKTGTGTGTGTAGACAGAATCCTTTCACAGTCCTGAATAAATGTGTRTCCATTCTGAAGATGGATAAATTGTAGACTATGCTCTTGTTGGCTAACAAGGCAATTTATGGCCTTAAGCTAAGGCAGGGGAAATTCAAATTAGATACTGAAAAAAGATTTCACTGTTAGGGTAGTCAGACATTGGAAGAGTTTGCCCAGGAAGATGGTGGAGGTGTTCAAGAGGCTTCTGGGTCTGGCTCTGGGTGATACAGTTTAGTGGTTTAGGGGTTACAGAGGTGGTGCTGGGTTGATGCCTGGGCTGGATGATCTTGAAGGTCTYTTCCAGCCCTGATGATTCMATGATTCWTCTTGGTTGGTTCCATTAGCTCCSTTTCTGGACTCTCCCCATGCACTGTCCAGGTTGGTGTGCAGACCTAGCAGACAAGAACTATGGGGATTTTGAAAACTACTTCTCATTTAAAGCGTTCCCAAGATGCAGCATATTGCATCTACATTGGCCTTTTAAACAGCACTTGGGCTGCCTGCAAATGCTACGTGGGCTGGCATGTAGCAGGCTGTGTACACACACACACACACACACACACACACACACACCCACACACACAAATATATATAAAAATATAAATATGCTTGACTTCAGGCCTGCTGCAAAAGTGAGCAGCTGCTGTAAACTCCTTAGGTGTTAATGGAGGCAGGCAAGAGAGGACAATGATCTGAGTGAGCACAGTGACAAGATACTGCACTGATGGTTTTTTCCAAGATGAAATTATTATGGCTGTCTGACTGGGTAGCTTGTGCTAAAACTAAGTTGCTAGAAAAACCCCAAAACTTTTGACATTTTGATTCATTCTAAAATTAAACTTTAGAATATGTCTGACCTAGCATCTGAAGATGAAAAGCTGTGGTTTTGTATGCAAGTTGCTGAAGTCACGGTTTTGTCCAAAACTGTGTATTGTGACTTCAGCTTTTACTTATGCTAAGCAAATTAAAACAGTGAAATAATTCTTCCTTTTCATTGTCATACCTCTTCTTTTAAATACAATTTCTTTTCCACTTGGAAMAAATCAATCGAATTTTTACATATTCATTGCTGATTTCTTTATATCATCTCACCAGCACATGATATAATTGGTAGCACATTAGTTGTTTAGCAAGTAAGCAGAGATTGTCATTATTTTTCTGTATGGCTGGAAATGCTGAAATGTTAGTTGCTTTACACAAAAACAAAAATAGAATTGGCAGTATGGTATTGATATGTTGTTTATCCATGTAAAAATAATTTCTTCTTTTTCTTCGATAGGTTACTCGGCTTCTACAAAGGAATACTTCCTCCCGTCTTGGCTGAGACACCCAAAAGGGCGGTGAAGGTAAAAACCCCATGCTTCCTCCTTTAAAAATATAAGTAGGGACAGTGGCAGCTGTAAAACATTTTATTTCTCCCCCACTGACTGAGATTAGAATCTTAAACTTATTTGGCATATTAATCCTCTGATTTTTACTAGGAGGAAAGTTTCCTGTTGATAGCACAATAAAAACTGTCCTTGATTAAGAAGTGTAGGATAAGGCTCGTAAATGTTAAGCTGATTTTGACTTGTGTATCTAATGTTACTGAAAAAAAGAATTGCAGTAATTTTGTATTGTCAAAATTAATAAAATTATTTAAGTTATATTTTAGCGTCATAATTACCTCTGGTTTAGGTATTTTGTTTTACTGAAAATGCCTAGCAACTTGCAAAACAACTAACAGCTTAATAAATTAACGCAAGAAGCCATTAAAGAAGCCACTAATAAGTACTTACTCAGTAGGTTTGAAGTGCTGCCCAGAGTTTTCTGTGCTCCAAAGAACACTTCGCCCCATACTATAACTTTTTAAGGCATTGAAGRTCGTAATGGATACAACTCCTCGTTGTGCAAAACATTTTACTCCAGCTCTCTTACAGTTATAGATGCTAGCCTATCAAAGTGTATTTGCTGTCAAAAGCTGATTTTCTTTTATTATCCTTTATTTTGATTTGTAGGACAGGATTTTAGTAACATTCCTAAACAAAACGCTTCAATACATAGATTTTTTTCAGTTCAGCCCCTCAGCCTTTTTAATTAAAACCTAGTTATTAAGCACATCATCTCAAAGTTCTAAATCTATCAAAGCAACCGTTGTGCAAAGAGCAAATGTTTCTTTGTCTTTTACTTCAGAACTTTGTAGTTTTCATAGTTGCACCAAATGTGTCTAAAAGCAGTTATTCTACAGAATGCCTTGATTTTCCTTTCTTTCTTTTTGTTGTTTCTTTTTAAAAAGGCTGCATATGATTCTGGTCCTTAGTCTGCAATTAATCATTCACATTCCAATTCCTTTACAGAGGAATAATATTTGTATAAAGTGACAGGATGTGACCTTGTAACAGAATCCTGAAGGAGTTCTGGTAATGTCATCTTCTTGTTTGCACTGGCATTTTAGATGCAAGTGACATATGTCATTTATCTCAAAATCATTTAATAAAACCAGGAAAACTAAAGTCCTATTTAAGAGCAAAGTGGCAATGAAGAATAGTTGGATGTTATTTAGAAGATCCCAATAACTTCATATTGTGATGCTTTCTGTGTCTCCTCATTTAATTTCATTTGAAACAGGATAAAGTAAATCTTACCGTCCTTTTTAGATTCCAGCAATGTATTTAGTTAAAATACTAATCCAGGTTTGTTTTCTCCTACCAATTTGAGTAATTCATAAACTTCAAATCACTTTCTTTTACTCCAGTTGATTAAATTGGCTTAAACCCTATGATATTCAATATAGTTATAGAATTATAGAAAGATGTTAAGTTGGGAGAAATCTGTGGCTCAAAGCAGAGATGATTTCATGTTCTGATGCTTTGTCTACTTGAGTTCTGAAAATCTTAAAGGATGGAGTCTGCTGCCTCGGCTCCAGCTCCAGTCTTTAATTGTTTTACTGTGAATAATTTTGCCTTGTATCCAGTCCAAATCCTCCTGTTGTAACCTTTGCCTGCTGCCTCTCATGCTTCTGTTGTCAGCCTCTGAAAAAGTCTGACTCTCCTCTGTGTAACCTTTGGGTGGTGGAAGACAGATCACCTTAGCCTTCTTGTCCCCAGGCTAAACAGACTCAGTTGTCTCAATCTCTTGTACATCATAAACTCAGCTGCTTTAATGTCTTTCTTGTCCTCTCTTAGTGGGATGCTTTCTACCTAGATCTTGGACATTTTATGTGAGAGCTGAGTGTTCCGCAAACATGAGAATCAAGTTTAAATGCTAAACACGTTTGGGTTTTAATTAAATAGTTGAATTCTTTAATTATTTACATATTCTTTTAAATTTAGTGCTGTTCCAAGGACATCAGGATGACTTGAAGTGATCTTGAGACGTGGGGTGTACTCTACACTGGAAGCACTCAGTGACAGAGCAGGGCTGTCCTTGTAAGAACCTGTATATTGAAGGAATTCACTGTGAGATGTCACATGCCAGTACAATTTTTAACATTCAAAATGGAGTTTATACCCATGCTTTGACCTGAAGAGAATCCAGCCTATCATCTCAAATTCCCACTAACCTTATGGCTATGACCCCAAAGGAAAAGCCACTGCTTCCTTTGGCCCACTCTCCCTCCACTTTTTATTCTCCTAATAGTTTTCTTCATCTTAACAGGCCTCAAGCTGTCCCTTCTCCACTGCCTAACTAGTGAGATTTAGAGGAAGAATATATTCAGGGCAATTGTTCTGAGACTTGAGAAAGCAGAAAAGGCAGAGAGGCATTTTCTAGGTTCCAGCAGCCTTGGTTTATGTTTGTAATGAACTTTTCTGAAAGCTTCTATAGTGTCATAAAAGTGCACAGGGAATGACAAGAGAGATTTTGTACCATGAAAAAATATATTTATGCTACTGTAACATTGTATTTATCTGGTGTGCATTTTTGCAAATAAAAATAAAGCTATTAAAATGAAGTTATTTAGCTCCAGTTTTTCAGTGAAGTGCTGAAGATACAGCTTCATTTTTAGTCAACTATATTCTCATGTCTGCCTTGCTATTTCTTTTTTTGTCTCTTTATTTCCCATCTAAAAAGAAAGCTGGTATTTCTGGAAGATGAAAAGTCAAAGTTTATAACTTTCTGTTAGATTGAACTTGGAGGAAAGAAATGATGATGCCAATACAATGGTTAACAGATGAACTTTTGGGGCAAATTTATATGGCTCATGTGTTCCCAGACATCTTGTTTCAAGCATATATTTTTACCTTAGAGTTATTGAGACATCTGGTAAGTACTTCGGCTATTTTCTGTGTAACTTCAATTAAAGTGTATCTTTGCCAGATGGACAATATTGGTTATTATATACACAAAAGCATGTTTTAAATATGTTTATTCTGATAAATTTTTTTTTGCACAAAGCTATTAACTTAATACAACTGAAGAGGAAAAGACAAATTATACTGTGTTTTTAAAAACATTTTGGATGGACATACATTATATAAAGTCATATGATACAGTACGAAATCTTTTATTTGCAAAATTGTAAGTACTAGCCACTCTAGTATACCCAGCAGCATTTATATTAAGTTTTATTGCTATTGGTGTGTTTGGTTTTAAAAATTATATAAAGCATAGTTACCATTAAGTAGTTATTTTATTTATGACTCTAGGAAGCTATTGATTTTTAAGGTAACATTTTAAAGACAAAAAAATTGCTAGGTAATGTATTTCTGCCTTTATTACAACTATTTTACAGATCTATCACACTATGGAAAACATTAAGGAATACCAGAAATTCCATTAAAGGTTAAGAGGGTAACAGTGACTAGAAAGATGCTGGAGAGAGAATAAAGCAAATTTTATCACAATAAGAAATTAATTTAGTTCAGTGAAGCAGCTTACCCGCCCACTTTGTCAGACTTTTATCTCTGTAATACCTTCAGTTGTCCAAAAAGATAGACCTACAGTTTAAGTAACTTCTATCTTTTCTGATTATTGTCAAGGCCAATGCAAAAATTTTAAACATATTTGCAAGATGCTGTACACTCTTTGGAGAGCACATAAAATCTGGGCCCCTAATCTAGGACCTTTTTTTAAAAAAATATACAACAATCCCAACCAAGGATATAAAAAAGTATTCTCCCATTGACCAGACTATCCGCCTATGAGTTTTCTTGAATTTAACAACCCAGTTTTGTATTATGAATAGATATTCCCTCTTGCTTTAAATCAGTGGCGTTATTAACACGTTAACACCCAATTCTCTGATGGTTTCGGAATGATTCCAGTGACTTTTCATTTGAAGCAGATCTTGATTGAAAAATTTTATTGACTTTACCATAGGACAAGGTTCTGAACAAGTTAAAATGAAAATGTGGTGCTTGTTACTTATGTTCCTGTACATGTGGTTTATGGAAAAGCTGTTTTGTTCTGATAGGTCTGGAGTAACTGAACCCTGAGAGACAGAGTTTGTCTTCTTTGGCTGAGACTCAGCACAGGTCACCCAGTCTTTCTGTCTTGCCTTAAAAACTCTATTCCCTTATGTTTCTTACGATTCCCATGTCTCCATTGGCCTCACTGCTCATTGCCTTCATCTCATGGTGAAACAGCTTGATTGTCTCATGCATGGGCAGATGCTTTGTGGAAGGCTCGTAGCCTCCTGTGTGGTCACAAAATGCACAGACTCTCAAAGGATCCCACCTCCATTTGAACCAGCTTACTCTGAACTCATCAAATCAGGTCATCTCTGGAAAGCAGACAGAAAAGTTAGAAGTTCTGGCTATTTCCTTTGCTAGATTGGGGTGTGGCAACTCTTGTACCAGGAGATGTGAACCTGCACTGAGATGCAGTCTTGGTGGAACTGTGACAGGTTTTTGTTCTTCATTCCTGTAATACCAGACATGCTGTGTAAAAACTTGTTTATTTTGTATGTAAAGATGTGAATAATTCTTCRACAGATTACAGGGCTCACAAATAGGGAGCTGTAGTTAGGGGTCTTATGTTTCATGTGTGAAAATTATGTGGAATAACACCTCCAACATTTTTGGTTTTACCCAGAATTCAGATATCTACTCTGTAACCCACMAGTTCTGCCATGCTCATGCTAGAAGATCATTTTCACAGCCCTCAGATCTTTATGTGGTCTTATGTGGTATCAACTGGACTGCTTTTTCAATGGATTCAGCAACATGTTTGCAGAACAGAAATGTGAGACATTGTGGGGCTTGTTCTMTAATCTCCTGCATAAATTTATCAAACTCTCCTCTAAAGTTGTTAAGATTTTTCCACCATTACTCTTATTGCCAAGACTGTTTCAGGACTCTACCCCTTTAGCTACAAGAAAGCTTCATCAGATCTCCAACCATGTTCTATTTATGTGTATTTTACTTTTACATCTGATTTCTTAAGGTTACATGTCATCCTTATTTTTCATTCTTTTGCAGGAGCTAAATAAGGAAAGCATTTCTTCTCCTTCAGTCTTCATTCGTAAAATAATCTCTAGGTCCTCCTTAATGGTAGCTCTGTTTTGAATATTATATAGTCTGAGTTCTTCTTTTTTCAATAGTGGCCTAGATTATGTGCTGTATTTCGGAGGGCAACTTTCCAAGAATTTGAAAAATGTCACATATACTCTTTCTTTAGGGTATATCTTGACTCATGCATCCTTGACTTTGTGTCCACAGACAAGGAGCTGGGCAGCAAAAGTCTGTCTGCCTATGGCAAAGGGAAGCTTCTTACTGACTTCAGTGYAGTCAGAGCTATTCTCAACATTCTTCTTGGAAGAACAAATCCATTAATYTATGATGCTTTGATTTTTATATGAATTCACAGAAGGTATTCTGAAAATTGATAGGTTTGGGTGGCAAAACAATGTTAGGTTGCAAAGTGAACCATTTGCAAATGGTTGCTTTTCACCATGTTGGGGCAGGTGAAGCTGATCTTATTTCTTTCTTGAAAATCAAACACCCAATACAGCTTTCAAGACATCCTCTAAGGAATTGCAGATGCTCAGAACTTCTAAGTGCCACTCTTTGAAAGCAGACAATTAGCTGAAAGATTTATTTGTAAAGAGAGAAAAACGACAATAAATGTGCCTGTTGACAGTAGATTATAAAAATGACAGACTTTCCATCTTCAAAATCCACAATTATATCTCTCTGATGAGAAGCAGACTAGTTTGGGAAATGTGAAAGTCATTGCAGCACATTATATTAAGAATCTCGGGGTAATTTCTTGGGAAAATTGTAGTACCTRCCACTACATTTAAACTAGTAGATGAAAGTTAATGCTAGAAGAAAAATTTATAAATTTAAAATAGGTCCTATATGATATAAGTGAACTCTTAGATAAAGCATTGCTTGAATTGCTCTTATGCTGCTATTATGCATAACACACAAACAAAATCAGTTCTGAAATCTGATTGTCTACTCTTGCACATCTAACACTGCTACAGAGAGTGTGAAACAAAAGTGGTTTATGTTTATTTTGCAGAACTGCATGCAGCTGCTCAGGATATGAGCTAGTGAAACTCCACTGTAGTCTGCTTTTTACTATTTTGCATAAATAAATCATGYATTTTTTCAATGCAATTTCAGTCTAACCTTTATTTACAGTTTTTCACTTTTGAACAATACAAGAAGCTGCTGGGATATGCATCATTACCACCAGGACTGGTACGTATGGATACAGAATTTCATGCTTTGATGCAATGTATGTCTGCTGAACAGTCTGTSTCATCTGATTCCTCCCATAGAAGAAGCCATAAATTAAAGGGTCCAGCTCAATCCAGATTCTTTCAAAACATACTTGTCCCTTGAAAATATCGATAAGAATTTATCAAAAATAAGTAAAATATTTATTATATCAAATGTCCTMAAAATAATTCCCTACAATGTCATAACACTTTTTAACATGGATAACAACAGTCATCATGGTCAGTCAGAGTCTATACAGCTTGCCATTATTCATTCTTCCAAAATAACAAGAAAGGTTGAACATTATCAATATTTGTTTATTCATGTCAGAGTGACTGGTTTAATACCTCAGCCCCAAAGGGCTATTCTGCAAGACACAGTACAACTATAACAAAAATACAGATCTMCATATTATTTTAAAGACTTTATAAAAGAAGCATAATTTGTTGATAAGAAACTGCTCCCTCCTTTGAAGCAAATGGCAAAAGTCTCTTGTACATTGGTGGAGTTAGGAATTCCTCTAAAAAATAACTGGCTCAAAAAAAAATGCAGGACATACATATACACAAAAACATTTTAATGCTAAGATGCATGTGTAATCTGCATTMTTATGTGTAGAACTTCATTTTGCTATTGTGCATTAGGAGTAAAATACTTTTTATAAAAACTGCTGCTCCCTGCAGTTTAATAATGTAAATCATAGTAATTATCTATTTTTCACAATAATGGCATCACAACTTTAGGAAACAATTGATCATTTTATGGCTATGCCATAAAAATTTTGGTTATTTCAAGTATCTTTACAAGAGTATTGCTTCCATGATGAAAGGTTCTCATCTTACTGAAAAAATAGATTTGTTTGTAACACAGTCTTCTCCAAAAACTGTAAGACTGGCATTTGCTGCTTCCCTTCTAACTTTCCATTCTTCTCTTTCTTGAGCTCTCAAGAGCGCCTGCTCAAATCCTTCTGTGTTAAGTAAGTTTTTTCTCACTATTATTTTTTTGCTTAATATGAAATTCTTTGAATTTCAGCAAATGTACTCATTATAATGTATTTTGATCCTGGGACTCTTTTCAGCACCTGGAAAGTTCGGGGATGTTAAGTGGAGGCAAAAAATGTGTAAACTGATCATTAAATTTAACCCCTATGAATTTTCTCTATTGACCTAAACATTTTAATACTATTTTTCTTAAAAACAAATTAAGGTATCTTAAAATGCTGTGCCATGATGGAAAGCAAAGCAGTGAGTATCTCTATATCTATGACTGAAATGTATCACCAGCTTCTAAGTAAACTCAGTTATTTCATCCTTGCAATGAATGCTGACATTTCCCTATATACCACTCATTCTCATATAAACCTTTCTAGGATTGATACCAACACAGTGAAGGTTCTACTTGTGCAATTTGCTGAAGTACTGAACTATTTTAGTTTTTTACATTTATTTTTAAGTTAATATGTTAGTATTATATGCTTCATGCGCAGTTCAGAGATTTTATTTTTTCCAGTGCTGCATAACTACACTTATATTTGTGTTACTCCACCCAAAAATAACATAAGRACATTCTTTTTCCATTTTTTTCCATGTTTGCGCAATAATTTGGTACCACATTTTTCCTTCCAGCTGAAAAGAGAATTCATGGACATGGAGTGCTATGGCATTTTATTTTGATTGTTTTGGAATATGGTTTATAGCTATTGTCATATTGTCTTCATGAGCTGTCAACATCTAATCAAGGGCTAAAGTTGTTTGTAATAGAACACTGCTGCATTACTATAGTCTTGCAGTTTGCATTGTATCGCTCAGTTTCACAATCTGATGTTCAGGAAGTATTACTCCTTAATATTTAACTTCCATTTTAACTTCCCTAGGCATTTGCAGTTGCTGGCTTGGGATCTGGGTTGACAGAGGCAGTTGTGGTTAACCCTTTTGAAGTGGTAAAGGTTACCTTACAGACCAATCAGAAMGCCTTCACTGAGGTAGGAAAGTTGCCTCATTCTCCTTTTTCCGCTTTATTGGGCATAATGCACTTCAAGGTTCGTATTTAGAGCAGAATGTCTACAAGAAATGGGGTCGATGGAAATGATTTTCCCCCAAGTTTACAGAAATGGAAGAGACCCAATAGACAGTTAACCAAAGGTTAACACAAAACACYGCAGCTTTGTGCCCTAGACAGAGTCCAGCTGCTGTATTTTATGCTGTGTTTCTTGGATAAAATTACTTAKAAGACTTCATTTTTATTAGCACAAACTGGAAAATTGTTATATAACAAGCATATTGATAATTTAAATTCTTGCTTCGCTTCAGAGTTTCTTAATTCAAATTTTGTTTTGTCCAAAGAAGTCATTGTGCAAAACATTGTCCACGGTTCTGGGTATTGCTGGAAGGGGAAAAAGTTTGAACTGGARAACAGTGATTCATGAAAATCAAATGTTCCTAGAAATGCACTAGCATTTATTAATTTTAGTGCAGAAAATATTCCAGGCTTTACAATTCCTTTCTTCTTTTCTCATTGAATAAAAATAACAATTGCCAAATCATCTTTTTCAAAATCTTTTGAGAAATCAGTTGTACCATGGTAGAAGTGCTAAATCACATAAGCATCACATGAAAAGGTTGGCTGAATCCCTGGTGGGGCATGATTTTTCCATATTCTACTGTTAAGTTTTGACTGAGCTAATACTGAMATGCCTCGTAGCACTCATCTGCACAAATTGGACCCTTTTTGGGGGATGCACAGTAAAGAGATTTATGACCTGGCCATTTACAGAACCTCATGAGGTACACTCTGCAAAAATACTGCCACTGATTTCCAAATGTGGTAGAGCTGGTGCCTACTCCATAACTCATTCCGAAAAGCATTTTCTTCCAGAATAAATTATAAAATGTTTGGTAAATTTTTGTTCGATTCTCAATGCATATGAAAGATGTGTTCGTTTGCTGGAAGTCTCCAGTCTAGATGTTTTTTAACCTTGGGCACCAAAGCCACTGAAACAGATAAATAATGCAGTACAGGAGTAAAATGTTTAGGATCCTGGAAGGAGAGAGGCTGAAAGCAGGAAAAAGCAATGTTTGAAAAGAGTTCTCTCTCAAGAAGGTGATGTGATAAAAATTATGGGCTACTACTGCTGCAGCAGTAGTAAAATAAGGAGATATTTGGGATTTTCTGCTTCACAGTTACGGAGATGTAATTAACCTGTYTTAAAAACACCCTCTACTTTTAAGTATTATCAAACCAGTGATATTTTGAACAAACTATTCCTTGTAAAGTTGCGAAAGACCAATGTACACTTTCRCTTCATATATTTTAATTTTTTTCTTTACTGCAAAATTCAGAACAAAGTCTGGAATGGTTTAGTTTGTAAATTTTATGCAATTACTTACTTTAGTTACAGCATCCCTTCCTTGGTGACCTTCAGAATACCACAATAATCAAACAGCAGCTGTCTAAAAGCATTCTGAATTGTTTTGTTCAGAATATTCTTTAATTTAATTTAAATGCAAAATTCCACAAAACCCAAATAATAATATATTGTCGTACAAATAAAATTTCAATAGAATGGTATTTGGACTTTACTGGAAACCTAGTTTACTTAAAAATACTAACTATTTCTCTAGGGGAAAAAAATCCAAGGGAAATTAAGTTCCTAAATCACAAAGAAAATTGTATCACAGACATATTAATTTTTAATATATCTTTAAAAATGTTAGAATTTCAAGATTTGCTGTTAATCAGAAAAAACTCCAGTGTCTTTATATATTCACATCAAGTTCTCATTGAGAATATGTTAAAGAGCATTCCACACTAAAGCGTGTAAACTCAAACCTATTGGAAGAAGCATGTCCAGGGGTTATATTATRCAGCACAAGGTATTACCAGGCACTGTTTTTCTAAAAGGTTTAAGTAAAGTGTGTACCTATCCYATTGTGGAGCTTTCATACTACATGATGAAACCTAATGCAGTTCACATATTTCTTTGACTATTGTATAGAAATAATAAATATATCTTGTTTAAAAGGAACAAGGAAGAGCATGAACACATACGCTCACACCCAGTCTCCTGCACACCCCCAAAGCAAATATTCACACCCTGCGGTGACAGCTGAATTGTTCTGCGGTGCTAGATCATCTTTCCAGGGTTGATAGATTTAAAGAGGAAGGCCACTATAAATCACGTATCAGCCCTTTTGTAATGTGGATTGCTATGGGTAAAAATAATGCTCACATTTTGTTAAAGTAAACTGCAAGAAGTCCCAACACCATGTTGTTTGTTTTCTTTTTTTTTTTTTTTTTTCATCTCTCTGTAACCCTGCATAACTCACTGGCAATGGAAGCTGGTGCAATGATTAAAATCTTCTCACCTGACTTAAGATTTATGATTAATTAAACAAATAAAATACATTTCTCTGCTTTATGATGAGAAGACTCCAGGTTCCCGTGAGTAGGTCTGCATTTAGTAAAAGTCAACAGCTGTGTGAAGTGCAGTAACTCCAGATGTTTGTACAATAAATTCCTCTATCTGTCGTCCTCCCATCATCACTGATGAACCACAGACCTTCTATGGCCTGATCAGTTGACACGATGACACCTACTTTGGTGTAAGGGAGACCTCTTTATTACTGAAGGACTGAAAAGGGAAGTCAGGTGTAAGCATTGCAGGTATCTACATTTGGATTTATGAATCCCATCTTAGGTGTTCAGCAAGTCACAGGCTTCCCCTCTGAGTCATGAGTAAATCCATATTCAAGAAAAGGGACACCAAGGAACACCGTACTGTTGAAGGTTGCTGTATTCAGCTTAAATCAGGACCACTAGTTATTTCTTAATGATCTAATCTCCATTTTTGGAACATGAAAAAGGACATTATTGCTGGTGTATGTTGGGTATCGCCATTTTAGAATGGATTCTGACTTGATTTCTTGGGGGTAGTTAGAAAAGTAAACTACAGTAAAATGTATGCGGAGCATTAACAGGATAATGTTAGTTATGAAATATGAAAAAACAGAATGAAACTTTTATTAAAGATTAAACTTGTCAGTCACCTAAATAATCAACCTTATGCTGTGTCAGATATAGTAGGCATCATTTGGCTGATGCTGTTGATCTACCACAGGAATATTTTGAAATGGAAAGCTATTAACCAAATAAATGTATTGAAATTAGTGGTGGTCACAGTAGTGTAGTCAAAATTCTTCTATATTTTCATGTTTGAACCTCCTAGTGGAAGTCATGTTTTGCCTTTCTAATTACATGTTTGGTTATCCAGTGCTGGCTTTATGCTTTGGAGACARCCACACTTGATTGAACAACTTTTTGAAAGTAACTTTTCTATAATGCGGCTAAAACAAAAAGTAAAATATTCAGAAGGGAGTAGCTAATTCTTAATATCATGGTATATTCAAAAGATGAACAAAGTGCATATAGTCAGGCAGATGCTGTCTGATATGGGGCACTTTTTTCCTTTTCGTCTTTTATTAAATTGTCATCTATTACATTACTACTCTTTTACAGTACTCAAGTAATTCTTTCTTCTTATTCTGCAATCAGAAAAACGAGGAATCCTTTTAATTAAAGCTGTGATGTTTAAATGGTCGCAAGAAAGGGAAAATAAATACGGTGATACTTARAATTACAAGAATTGGCAACACTGTGTTTGTCAACAGGATGGAAATGATACTATGTTTATTGTTTTCTTTTTGTAAAGATGATCTCTTCCTTCTCTTGTGYAAAGATATCTCTTCCTTCTTTTGTTTAACTTGTGTAGCAACCATCTAGCTTTGTTCAAGCTCAGCAGATCATTAAAACCGGTGGTCTGGGCTCCCAAGGACTCAACAAAGGCCTTACTGCAACACTGGGCCGTCASGGAGTTTTTAACATGGTTTACTTTGGATTCTACTTCAATGTGAAAAACATTCTTCCAGTCAATAAAGTAAGTTCTTCATACAATGCGATAGACAATCAGATAAGAAGTTTGACATTTGAATTCACACTGTATTTTTCTGTGCAAAGATGTGGTTTTTCTGGTAAAGCTCTGTTTTGCAGAAATCCCTAGCATTTTATTGGAAGCAAATTAAGGACTTTAACTCACTTTTTAAGCAAAGATGAGTATAGTCATATTTGAATTATCATTTTTATGAATTTCCCTTAATAGCATGGTACCAGTGCGAAAATGCAGCAATTTAGATACAGATATATAGTGCTTATGTTGGGAATGCATGSACTTCTTTTGTGGCAAACTGGCTTAGAAGAGGAAAATGAGTTTCTAGAACTTCTGTCAGTGCTCACAAGGGGCTAAGCTTGTGCAGGAGGCTGAGCTGCACTGTGTAGGCTGTTCTGGACTGGCACTCACCTATTTACTCAAAAGAGAATTCAACCTAGTTTTGAAGGATGACAGATTCATCTATATGGGAGAGAGACAGCCCAAAATGGGATGTAAAGGGTCATGCACAGAGACTTAATATCATTTATAGTTTTTTAAAAAAGAATCATTATTGCTATGATTTCACTTAAAGAAAATTTGATAGTCCTTAATTCCTTTGAATAACAAAGGAAGTATTTCCCTTTACAACAAAAGGGAATTTTACTAATGAAAATGTGGTAATATCAGCAACTTTCTAAATTACTGTGTGAGGAACAACTAATGGTTTATTAATGATTCCAGTACGCTACTTACTGAAGTGTGCTTTCACTAATGTGATTTTTGGATGATGACAGTTAAACAGTCACAGGTGTAATATGTAGTGATGTACATGTAAGAAGGTGCAATTCACATCAAAAGGGATCAGTTGCTATTCCCAGATGAAGTAACACTTCTTTTTTTTCTGCACTTCTGAGCAGCCTGGTATTTTTGTTGGCAGCATTGTGAAAATGGAGAAAAGCTCCACTTCTTATTTGCAGATCATTACAGTAAATTGAATTGTTCAAAAGCAGCTGACCCACAAGTTTCTACAAGTTTCTTGTAGTGTATTTAAGCATACTTTGCAGTGTACTTTAGTCACACATTGTAAAAAAGCACAAGCATAGCTTGATACTAAGATAGGAGTAAACACATTTGTGTTGATCAGAAGATGGAAAATTATAATCACTATGCAGAAAATTCAGAATAATATGCTGGTAAGGACAGAGACTAGTGTGCAGCTTCCATGGGAATCCTGAAATGCTCTTGCATGGCAATTGAATAGTATTTGGCATAAGCATGCTTTCCTGGCCTTTCAGATTKTAAAAATGAGGAAACAATTATTACATAATTAGAAAGATTCAGAGCTTTATGATCCAAAGGAAATTAGTACTTTAAACAGATTTTGTATTATGCASAAAAATTTCAACATCCACAACATAGGTTTAAATATATGTAGAAAATAAAAAGAAATTACTTCAATGTCCTCAAAYACTAGGAAAATCAAAAGGCAGTTTAATCAATGTAGGATTAACTGCAGATAAGTGGAGAGGTTTTTCTTGTGCTTGACCAGGGCAAAGTGCCTTGTATGGTGGCTTGCAGAGTGGCTACATCTGTGCTGGTAAATTGAGTAGCAGCACTGAAACTCAGCCATCTGTACTGTTAAACATTCCCTGGCACAGCTTTAGCCCTGGCCAGMCCACACAGTTCCTGGGTGTGGCTTAGGAGCTCGTGAAGACAAGGAACTCTTCCTAATGGGTGGTTTCATGCAGTTTGGAATGGTAATAGCATTCAATATTGCTAATAAAGTTAATAGGTCTAGGACAGCTAGCATCAGTGTCATAGACACTCTGAACAGACAGATATCACAAATAATTCTGATCAAACTCCCACTAAAACCAATGCAAACCTTACCCTGAATTTAAGAAGACATAGATCAGGCCTCATCTGGTTTGTGCTAGCCRACATTATGTCTCAGGTACTTACATGCATTGAATTTCCCTTCAGTGGCTGCTGAACRGAAGTATTTAACAATAATTTGTGATCTGTAACTTAAACCTCTTCTGTCAGTGGGCAGGTATAGAGCCTGAGAGTTATCAAACCTGGACAAGGAATTTGGTAGAAGCTGGTTCGCAGTGAGCCAGAAAAACAGCAAGCAGTTGTTAACTTGTCAAGATTTCTCACATACTTGATTTCATTACAAAATCTAGTTTGTTAAATTTTTATATATTTTAAGAAAAGAAAGTCTTAAAGCCAGTCTTTCAATAGCAACAAATATCTAAAAATTATTATATATAAAAAATTGTGAAATGAGAATAATACACTTGTGAAATAATTTTGACTGTTTACTATGTATTTGCTGTTCACCATCTGTAACATAAGTGGAAAATGTATTAAAATCTCYGAATGAGCCTTTTAGCTGTCTGCTAAACTGTGCATTAAATTTGCATCCCAATTAGGGATGTTTGCAGCCTGTTTTGCCAAAACCAATAAATCTTGTAGGTTGAGTGGTCAAATGATATCAATGACATGTGGAGTTTGTAAATGTCCATAATGAATAATTTTTCATATTTCAGTCTATTCTGCTAAACAGACCATTTACAGCCAACTTTGTGCTCTGTTTACTGAAAATGGAGTARGACATTTCTTTCAATTGCCACTAACGTATCAGCCCCAGAGAACTAGCAGCTATTGCATCTGCCCTAGCAATGAAATTAGTTTGTAAATGGCACCTGCTTTTGTAGTGCATTTCATAGGTGTCCAGCAGCTTTCGTTTTTCAATTTTTTATCATAATTATCTTTGGTTTTAAGCATTAGTTTCATCAAAACCTTTGCTCACTACCACCTCCAAGTGGCTTCCATATCTCTTAACCATGTGAAATTTCCTCACAGTTGTTAAGAGCCCTCTTTGAAGTGTGGCCAACTGCAAAACTCGAAATTTCAAGTCAGGCAGTGCCAGCCSCAGTCCCACAGATGTCCCTCTGTTACACAGGGGGTAGGGCTGCTGCACCAGACCATGGGTGCTGAGCAGGACGTTGTCTTGTGAGAGAAAGGGGCTCTGAACTTCTAAAGGCAAAGAAGAGATGGGAGACCAAAATGGGCTGTTCTGCTCMGTAAGTAAGATAGCAGACAGTAATTTTGTTTCGGTAGCTTTCAGGTCCGTGCCAACATAGAAGTTCTATGTAGCAGTAGAAAGTGAAAAGTGGATGCTGTGCAGTGGGCTTGAAGAAATAGTAAGCCAAGGTGATTTAGGAGAAGGCTGGGTCAGAATGGGGAATGGAATAACCTCAGAGCTACCATCCAAACTCAGGTTTCAGGATTWAAAATTTAAAATGGATGTTCTGTATCTATCACAACAGTGCAAGTCACGCACTGTTCAGGACTCTCCACTGTGAGGTGTCCTGTGGCTGTTGAAATGACAGCCTGTGCTCTTTAAAGACTTCAGCCCGGGTTSTCATCATCAAAGCGGGTTGCATCCAAGGGGCACTACCTGTTGCTCCTTCTAAAAACCTGTATGAACTGCATCCTGTGCATGTTATGGAAATTTTAATTTATTTTTCTTGTTGCTAATCTGGAAAGGAAAACTTTTTTCTTGTTTTGTTTTTCATTCAAAATATACAGGTTTAGGAACCAAAAATCTGTCTTATTTTAACATTGTGCTGATGTCATAACACAGCAAGGTTATTTGTTATTTTTATGATGATTTTCTGTAATTAAAGTACCTTCATGACAGACATGAGCTGCATATTTAGAGTCTGATTTAGCAAAAAAAGTACCTTGCCTGTGAAAACCAATAGCAAAACAAAACTACATGCATAGGAAATGTCCTGGAACACACTGCCCAGTGACTTCCACTACTTAGAGAAATAGGATTAAAGCTGCTTCAAGGGACTTTGGCTCCCAGATAAACTCTGGGTTCTTTGATGTCATAGAAATGCCAAGGTAGGAGGTCTTTCTAAAAGATCAAATAAAATCCAGTTGAACTGTGAACTGCGAGTGAGCAAAGAAGTTTTTAGATGTGCTTCTAACCTACTTCTAACTTTTACCGTGTGCATATCGTAGGGCTCAGAAACAATCTGTTGTAAATTCTTCAGCCAATTAGCTGAGTGAATTACCACCGTTTATAATGCACAGAACGTGGAGGCTCTCTTGCCGTTGTGCCGAGTTGGATTGTTAATAACAGGAAGCTAGCACTTCTCAGTACAGTGGATCAGCTACATGTGAAAATAAATGTAAAAAACCTGGAGGGGAATGGCAGCAGACTGAGATTAGTCTTTATTTAATTTAGCATTTGGGGGTCCAACACACAAATGAGTGTTTTAGTAGGCTTCATGGTGGAAGTTGCTGTCATTTGTAAAATATTCTGGCCAATTAGCTAATAGTGTGCTTGGATTTCTCCTGTTTTGATACAGTAATACTAAGTACATTGTGAAGCCCAATTATACAAATCATCCCCATATGCCATACCAGTCTTTCTTTATGAACTGTGTTTATAAATCCTGTGTGAGGAAATGTGTACTTCAGCAATTTAGACCATGTGTAAAAACATAGCCAATAGGATTGTCAAGAAAACAAGTTCCAGCATAGGAAATCCTAATGTGTTCCGCTAAAATAACACGAGTGTGTTGTGTGAGTTTTCTGATTAAATGCTTATTACTTTATAGTGCTTAACCTGCACAGGTCTTTCCGTTTCCCTTTTTATTCTTTCTTTCCTCTTTTTTTTGTAGGATCCAAATTTGGAGTTTTTGAGGAAATTTGGAATTGGGCTAGTCTCAGGAACAATAGCCTCAATTATTAACATTCCTTTTGATGTTGCAAAAAGTAGGATTCAAGGACCACAGCCAGTTCCTGGAGAGATCAAGTACAGAACCTGTTTTAAAACTATGGCAACAGTCTATAAAGAGGAAGGGTAAAACATTCTTATTTTAATAAATGTCCAGACCTCTGTTTTAGTTCATATGGGCCCATAAAACCATGTTGTTATATTTCAGATTTGACAAGCCCCATTAAGCCACCCTGAACTCACATAGCAAAAGAGCCCAATGTAGCATTTTGAAAATTTATTTCAGAATTACAAGAAGATATCTTCCTACATGTGAACATTTACAAGGGACTTAAAAGATGATTATTGGCTTGTCAAAATTTATGTTCCACAAGTAAATGCTTCATATATCTCAACGTGTTATTTTTTCAACTCTTCATTTTGTAAAAGGAAAATATGAACAGAAAATAGAATATTTCTCAATTCAATCTAATTATAATTATACAGTCCTCTGTGCCTTTAAAATTATTGCTGAAACAATAAAACTGAGGACAGATCCTTGTGGTAATAACATTTTCCAACTTTTAAAAATATTTCGCAAGTGGTGACTGAGTTGTAGCTTTGATATTCAATTATATCAGTCATTTTGTCCCTGTATGCAGCTGTTGTTAACAGACTTGTCTTGAAAGTMAACCCATCTCACTGATTAAAGTCGTATTTCTGATTGGCTAGGCTCACAACATTGCTTTTGTGACTGAACATTGATTAACTTTTTCTCTTCATCTGATCTGCCTCTGTAAAATGTTAAAATCCAGATACAGCCTGCTATTGAACATGTGTAATTTCAAATAATTGCCTCTAAGTGCTCTGCCAGCATTTTAACAAACATATGCTACAATTCTGTTCTTCTTTTAAAGCAAGAATATTGTTTGAAATGTTTTGTTTGTTATTCTTCTGCTACAGATTTCTGGCTCTGTACAAAGGCTTGCTTCCCAAGATCATGAGGCTTGGTCCAGGTAATTTTCTTCCTGTCATTTTTATTGTGCTTTTGTTCTTGCTTTCTCTTCCCATTTTTCAGTTTCTTGGAAAAACGTAGTAGATATCAGTCAAATAAATGTATCAAAATATCTTTCACTCTGAATGATTTCATTTTAAAATAGCATCATCATCATTATAGTATCACAGATGGATTTGGCTAAATATGTGGCTAAAAAAATCTTTACACATATACATTGGAGAATTGCAGATCCAAGTAAATGCTGATTTGTGCAATTGCTTTATTTAAGAATGAACCAAAGTACATCAATGCAAATGACAGAACTGTAAAACTTTTGGAAGTTTCTTAAAGTTTCCTATTTCTTTTAAGGTGATCTTTTGAGTTCACTAAGACCATTCCATACCTATGTGAAGTCAGCCTAAAATGCCTAAATAGAATTTCTCCATAAAATGCATTCACAACTAGTCAAAGCACAGCCCAAGAATATCAAAGTCCAGTTACTTTCTTCTCCTGTGCTAATATGGGGGCAGACACCGAAAAGCTGATAGCAGAATTGGGAAGAAACTTGTATGACCCTGGAAAACTAAGAGAACAAGGATGTTTTAAAGCTGGGTTTATTGTTTAACACCTTCTCACTGCTTGTTACTCCAAATGTGGGAGCACAGTGGTTGAGAACTCTATCTTCCTTGACTTTTAGACTRTTTTTCCCTGACTGGTTTTGATTAATCATGAAAGCAAAGCACTGGGCCCTCAGACTTGGCCAGGCCACAGAGGCAGTCTGCATCAAAAAGAGCAGAAGCCCCAATTTGAACAGTATCCCATTCCCAAGAAATGGTGTTTTGAGTTGTTCAGGCTGGTTGTTTAATATGCAATAACACACAAAGGTAAAAGCAAGCAGGTACAGAGCCTGTTCTGCACAATAAAGGAGGCATTAGGTTTGTCTGTAAATGTTTGCATATCCAATCCATCTGGCTAAGTGCTAGACCMTGCCTGGTCATTGTGCAGGGGGAGGAAGAAGGTGGGGAGGGAAAACAAGGAGCTCTAGAGCTAAAAGCCTTTTCTCACAGGCTCCAAAGATACTAGATTACATACAGGACAAAGAGAAGGCAGTGTTTAGCTTTCCCAGTACCTCTTAGCACATTAGATTTTGGAATACAATTTTCCATCTTACAAATGACTGTGCATTTTGGCCCAGGTCCAGCAAGTCAGTTAAATGTGAACTTCATTCTAAATACTTTTGTAGTTCCATTGACTAGCTAATATATAGYGTTGACTTTCTGATGAAACAATAATACAATCTTTATTGTGACTGGAAAGGTAATTCCTTCTTTCAACATGTGAATGTTTACAGGAAAAGAGACATAAACAGATCACACAGTTTGAGATTTGGAATCAGCTTTGATTTGAGTTCAAATCACATCTCAGACATTGTGTCTGTGATTTGTTTGTTGGTCAAAGCCTTTTGTAAACTTCTGCTCTGTCTAGCTGGCTTGAGTTCCTGTTCATAGAGGATTTCAAGTCTGATGATGGTTCCTTAGGATAAATGACTTGGAGAAACTCATGGTAGTTCTGTGTGCCTGGTTGTCTGAGCCTTTCCCTAGAAAGGTGAGCCCAGTTCGGCACAAGATTTGTTTGTTAGAGGTGCCCCTCCAAGCCCCCAAAGAGCCAACAGGCAAAGGCAAAGGAAATATTTGTGCCCCACTGCTGGCACCCATAAGTGATAACTTTTTACTCATGCAGCCTGGTTGTCCTTATTCATGTTCAACAAGAAGCTTCTCGCTGTGTTTGGTTCTATGGGCACCTTCTGAAATGTTCCCTTTTTTTATCTCATTCAGTACTCACAGCCCAGTTGCAGTCTGGCTTCACTAACAGTAAAGTTATTTTATGGCTTTCAAGATGGGATTTTATACTGTTATCAACTCTAGCAAATAATGTCATTTCATTAGATCAAAACTTTGCCTGTGGATTTGTACCCAGGAAAGATTACACTCATTTAAATAATGTGATTTTCTGCTTTAGCCATGGTAAACAAACAGGTGAAAACCTTTCTTGATTCTTACCTGGAAGCATTTTCATCATCCTGGTGATAAATTTTTGCCATTCCACCAGTAAAGTTGCTCTTTCATGGCCAAATCTAACTAAACAGGCACACAAATATACACATATTCAGATTAAAATTCCACTTGTAAAACAAAGAAAAATATTAATCTTGAAAAAGTATTAGGAAATATCACATGGGGGGAGTTTTATTTAATATACAAGGTATTTGCACCAACTTTGTTGCCTAATATTAAGTAAAATTGTTATGTTTTATGAATTTGTGAATTTTTTGTGAACTAAGAAATGAGTAGAGTTATCCATTTTGCAAATAAGGCTTTGCCATATGCTGGTTTATAAAGCACCCTAGAAATGCTCTATAGAATTCTGGAAATACTGGATTTTCTGTATAGTAAAATAGTATCTTTTCTTCCAGGTGGTGCGGTGATGCTTTTGGTTTATGAATATGTCTATGCATGGCTTCAGGACACAGTTAATCACAAGTAGCACTTCTGGAAATTGTACTCTTTAAAATTATATTAATTCCAAAATACTCTATAATAAAGTAAAAGTGATKCTTATCCTTTATAGTGTTGAATACCCTCAAATTGCACTGATGTTAATACAGCTCAAAACAAATATGGTCTTTATGTCCTGATCCAAGAAAACATTTATGCACATGCTTTTCTGTAAGTGCATAATTAGATWGCACTTGGCATTTGTAATTGCTTTGCTGGAGCAAGAGAAATAATACACAGGAAACATAGGAACCAGTTCTTTATAAAGGACAAACTGAAATTTTGGGATCATCCTATGTAGTCATGCACTTTTTGAAAGGTTTCAGGTGAAATGACAAAATAAAAAAAAATTCAGGGCATTTTCAAGAACAAAATTTAATAATCCTGAGGGGCCAGATACAAAACTATTGTGAACTGACAGCTCCATTGACTCCACGTTAAGAAACTGACCCATGCTCTGCAATTTTTGAGTCAGTCTTGGGTCCATTTTCAATTCAACCCAGTATGATTTCAGCATTTGTAGGAGAACTTTTCAAGTTCCTGGGAGTTTGGATAGAAAAGGACAGCACAAGTAGCCAGAACCTTAAAAACATGCATACTGTTAAATGTCCTACTTCTTCTTAGCCATATATATAATATAAATCTCATTCAGATCACAGAAGATACTGAAAATAGTTAGTCTGCTTCAAGTTACATAAAAATACAAATCAACATGGGATTCATAGAAGAAAAGAGTAAATAAATTAACAGAAAAAAAAGTAATTTTAGGTGTATGAGACTTTTCTGCAAATCCAGAAAAAAAATTTATCCACCTTGATACACTATTCTGAAAAGAGCTGTCCTGTGATAAAAATGCTCAGTGCCCCCTTTACCCTTTCATTTCCACCATGGAACAGTGAAACAAGGTTATAATAGTGCATATGCAGTTGTAATTAGCTGGCCATAGTCCTTGAGGAAATGCACCTTTCTATAGATAAAAAGATGTTGCTCTGAAGCTAAAATTTTTGCTTTTCCCAGTCACTGTAAATATAAATATTTCATGTTCTGACTAGCCATTCTCACTCTCTGTGAAATACAGTCAATTCTGCCGTTCTGCCTGTTTCTGTTCATGCAGTTGTGCCATTCTAAATTTCTTTTTAAAGAACTCTTTAAATAATTTAAAATCACACCTTATTCTCTTATAAAAATGTCTCCATTATCTAACTTGGTTTGTTGCCAAATGAACTCGTATCTTGCAGTTGCTGAAAGTTTCAGTGTCCCCCCATGCTACGTTCACACTKTTAGTGTTAAATGTTCTTCCTCTTAAGGAGGTACAACCCTTTTCCTTATCAATCCTCTTTCTGCATTGTTACTTGAAAAGGACAGTTCACATGTGAAGTCTCGTCTCACGAGTGTTTTCAATGCATTGCAGAAGTAACAAAAAGTTAAAATAGAAATGTGTTCTCAGCGCTTTCAAGTTTGCCTATATTGACATGTTCAATAAGTTTCTCTTTAGACTGAATTTGACAACAGTGGCTTTTCAGACCTATGCTATCGCATAGATAAAATCAATAAAATTAGCTCTGTTAAAGTTTATGGTTTTAAGGCAAGTGTTCCTCGTTGTTGCATTTTGTTATTGGTACTTGGCCAAAGAGAAGACACTAGTAAGATAATTTCAAAAACTAAAGCAAAATGCTTTATAATTTGTCTTTTATTAATTTAGAGCATTCAAAATATAAAAATAAAATGCTTTAAACATACTGTATATACATATATAGCCTTCGGTTTTACATCCTTTCCAACATGATTTTTTTAGTTCATAGCTCAGCCTGATCTTTCATGAAAGGAGAATAATTCAAAAACAGAAAATGGCATGGTATGGGAAAACAAACGTATGAGTGGGTCAGCCCAATCTCCCATTACTCCTGGTGTAATATGGGCTGAAGTTCAGTTTTACACTGAAGATCTTCTGAACTGGGACTATGCAAACACAGTTCGGCTGAAGAGGGTCTTATTAGGCTTCACTGATTTCTTTGGGAACATTTGACACTCTGGGAATGAAGTGTAGACTTTTCAGACTAAAAACTTTAATTCTGCACCCACATACGCTGTATATTTCCTAAATGCATCTGTTCACCTCAGGGGGTTCCCTCCAGACTCATACCTTTGCACTTGACAGTAGTTAACCCTTATTTATTATTTCTAAACAAAAAAGAATTCTCTTTTTCTTTTTAATTTAATTTAAAATGGTTTGAAGTTGTGTGGTTAGTAAGCTAATGTTGCTGTTTTCATTTAACCATGAGTGTAAGCAGTGAAATAGTTCTTGGGCAAAGAAGTATTCTACATCATAGGTTTACATTTAAAAAAAAAAAATTGGTGAAAATTCACACCAAAAATCCATCTTGGCAGTTCACCAAGAACCAGGATCAGGCACTTTTGCTCACTCTGAGCAATACTTTCTGTATGCAGCCCCACTGACTTCCTGTTCAGGGTAAGGGATCATGTACAGCAGGCAGATGCACAGAGAGCTGTACCTAGACAAACACAAAACAAAAATGGTTTATGATGGTGTATCCCATAGGGGGAATAATTAACCTAATGTCCTGTCCTTGCTTTATAAATTATCCTGATTTAGCTGAAGAGAAGATAATGCAAATAACTGAAACAAGCTAAGGATGTGTCTCTGTCTCCCAAAACACACTAATTCCTCATTGAAATGTCAGGAAACTTTTAACACAAGCACACTTTGTTACAGGTTTGTGAAGTCTTGAAACTCAAAAATGCAGTGCTTTGAAAGGTTTCTCTTCTTTTTTTTTTCTTTGGTTTTCTTTTCCATTTGATGTTCCTTGTTTGAGTTCTATGGAAAACAATAGGTAGACTTACTCAATAATTCTATAATCCAGTAGGACAACAAAGTTAAAACTTAAAATCCTCTTGCTAACTTAATCACTTATCTACTTACGATCTATTTTTATATTTTTTATTCCATTTTGTCCTTAGTGAAGTGCTTGTCTAGAATTAAATTTTCTTTTTCATGAAGTTAAGGCTCATCCTATTTCAGCAATAACAGCATAAAGGCAGATTAACATCCGTTATGTCACTGACAGTGTGTCAGAGTGGAAATGCTCTTGTGTGCACTTTGGTGTTTTCAAAGAAAAGGTGTTCTACGGAATAGAAAATGTTTCAGCATCTCATTAAAACTAAACAGCTGTTGAATGCCTTTGAGGTTGAAGAACATGAATCACATCTGAGATCAGATCTTTCTTTCCTTGGGGCCGGAATACAATACCTGTGTTCTTTATAGAAATGCAGTTTTGTTAACTATTTTTTAGTGCAAGAAGCAAAGGTGGCTGCAGCCACCAGCAGAGTCCATCTGTATTTCAGCAGACGTACTGAACACGACACAAGTACTGATTGTTTAGATTGTTATGAAAATTTACCCACAGCTGTCTTGGTGATGAAAGCTGGAAATCCACAGAGAGAACTGTATTTTAAGAGGGGACTGTATTTTACTTTTCCACTGAATTTATGTTTAATATGGGATGCAGATGAACAATATATGAAGAATGATATTTTGTCCTTTGCTTTACCTATGTCTACGGTGATTTAAGTTATTGCAAAACATTTATAAAAATACACTGTATGTTAATAGTCCATGAAGGATATGAAATTGTCACACCAGGCTTTTTTTTTCCACATTCATATTCTGAACATACCTAGAGCATGGGGAAAGCATAATTACAGTCAGAATTTTATTATTGCCCAAGGAAAACAGGTAAATTTTCAAAGACCAGAATGTTAGCTCTCTTGGGATTAAAGTTTAAAGCAAAATAACTGGCATGGAGTACTTGCCACTGCATACAGAAATGTARAAAGGAAATTTGCTAATATTAAATAATATCTCTGTTTGTAGCACCACCACCAATATACCTRTAAGGGAAAAAAAATGTTTCAGAACAACAATGTAAACTTTATCAAGAGCCATACTTTACATTCATTAAAGTAGAAATTAAAGACAATTTCCTCTTAAAATAATTACAACATAATCTTAGGGCTGGACGCAAGTGAGCTGAGAATGATGGTACAATTCTCTTTCTCAGTGGGGCAGCTCAGTCGACTGACATGGCTTTGTAAGCATCTCTGCACCGGTTGCACACTAACAGCATTTTCCTCTACAGTTTTCACTTTTGTTCAGATATTTTCCACCCATTTCTGTTTGTACACTTCATATGAATGTGGTGTTTCAGGAATCTGGGAAGCTCTGTATAACTGTGGAGAGTTACTTAGCTGGATTTCTGCTTTTGACTCTTCTGCCAAAGAGATAATTATTTCATGAGATGTTGAAGCCTCCACTGTAGGCACAAAAACATGACAAAAAGCCCTACCTAAACCTCATCACCTGAGGCTATCACCCCACCATGCAAAGACATAGAGAATAACTAGAAATCATCTTTTTAACTTAAAAAAAAGGTAAGAAATGTACTGGAAGGTGAAAACAAAGGGTGTCAAAAGCCTGTATTTACAAATGGATAAAATCACAGAGATCTTACTACTGCATGATGATGGTGACATGCCAGAAGAGTCTGAAAGCCACCTATTGCCTTCATTCCATATTTGATCACCAAAACCCAATAAAACAACAAAAAAGTTTTCATTACAGTGGATTATATAATTTCATCGATGAAAGGATTGTTCTTTAGGCAATTGGCAAAAACACTTCCCATTCAGCCACCTTTGCTGATTCAAGGCATAGCAGAATTTTCTGTGGTCATCTTTCTTTATTGATTTTTGCATAAATCTTAGTAACAATTGCACATTTAGAAAGTTTGTGATGATTAAGAATAAATATATGTGGTTTGACCAGGAGAGAGTGGAACGAGGCTCCACGAGCCCTTTGAGGGACACAAAGTCTTTAAGAGCACAACACCACGCTTCTCTCAGTTTCTGATGTCGTCTTCAGCTCTTTCAATGCCAAAAGCCTTGCGGGAGGCAAGTGACGAGGAGAAATGCCAAGTGCCACCAGCATGAGGAGAGCAGCCCGTGAKCTGGGCTGAGGAGCCAGCGAGCCCGTGGTGCTCCTGGACCATCTCCTGCATCAGAGAGCCGAGGCCGTGACGGAGTGGCCGCCCTCCCTGGCTGTCTGCATGCCCTTGAAGGCCAGCGAGGCGGGGATGTCACAGCTGTGGGGGGACAGCGGGGTGCCCCCGGCGTGCTGCCAGCCGTGGCTCGCCATGTAGCTGGACGGAGTGGCGCTGTACGTCATGTAGGGTGACACTTGGGCTGGCGTGGCGTAGGGAGGCATGGCTGGTGCTGACACAAAACTGCTGACGGCTGGGAGGCCATTGGGTGCCTGAAAGGAGAGGGAAGGGAAGGCATTGCCAAGAGATTAACACACATTTTATATGGTGTGATATAAAATGCCCTCAGATGCTGCTGGGGCTTTGTACCAAAACTAGAGGCAGCGGGGACGCTAAGAGAGAAACCCATAATCATTCCCCTGAATTTCAGGGGCTCAGTGGCCCCTTTTGCTTTGCTTTAAGACCAGTTACCCTACTGTGATCAGAGCTTCACACCTCTCACAGCAAACTGCGCCAGACAGGGACCAGCAGCAATGTTTAGGAAACACACAAGAGTGGGGCAGGAACTGCTGAGCCCCCTGCACATCTGCCTGCCTTCCTGTAAGCTGTTGTTCACAGACTCCTAAAAGACCATGGTTGCATCTCATCATTACACTTGAGAGCTGCTGGAAGGATTTGTATTGAGTTTCTTCCTTCTTTTTCACTGAGCACCTTAATGCACTCAGCAGTGACTTCCACAGTTTGGCGTAAATGACCYGCAACATTTATCCACCTTCCCCAATTTTGCAGAGGGTGTTGATCGCTGTGGCAAGCCCTGCTGGGTGGTGCTGTGGCAGCCTAAGCTGGGTGTGCAGTGACCACAGCCATCCCAGCAGCAGCAGGGACAGATCTGTCCCTGTGTCTCACCTCTCCTGGCCCCGAAGGAGGGGGGGCTCAGCCCTGAGCTGCCGTGGGCAGGTGAGGGCACAAATCTGAACGCACCACTCCCCACACTGAAGAGGCAAGAGCGGCTGGGGGAGGGGGGGRCATCTTAAACTCTTTGGAAACTGTTCAGAGCATGAGTCACAACTCTAATTGTAGTATTAGTGATGGTGTCTTTTAAAAATCTGTTTTCTAGATACTTGGGATAAAAAATCTTGCAAATGTTCTTTGCTCATAACTTCTCCTGGTTTCAATAGGGCTTCTATGCACAAAACAATTGCAGGGCTGGGTCCTTCCCTGCAAGCTATTTTCCTAGGTCCTTCTGTAGGCTGGGAAGGAGGGTTTCTATTTAAATAAAGAAGGGAGAGTCCTTCAGTCAGCCATGGTATGATTTCACAATTCATGACTCCTTATTTGACTAAAAAGTGTTTGGTGGTTTATTTCACACCCATAAATGTTTCTTCAGTGCAACAGGTACAAGCCAAGATCGTTTATCTTGCTTAAGTTTCAATTTGTGTAGTGTTTGTTTTAGGATTTGGGGTGGCATTTTTTTTCAAAAATGTTTCCTATCTGGAATGAAAGAAGAGTATTGGTTCAGCAAATCCTGTAGCATCATCACATGGTACAACTGGACSCAACGTGAATAGTGTGAAGTTAAGGAATGAAACAAACTTTGGTTTCTGCTAAAAGTTCACATGATGCTAACATTTCACTTGCTCAGTTTCTGCCCGAATTGCACCTGCCTGATTTTCAGTATTTACCTTCACAAGGGTCACTGGCCTGTTTTCAGGCTCATTGAGTTTCCTATCCATGTAGCTCACAGCTCCACTGTCTAGACTGTCCTCTCATTGTCATTTGGGAAATAAATGTAATTCAGTAATTCTTCAGGATTCCATCCATATAAACCTGTTCATCAATCTAAAGCAGCAGGAGACAGCAATAGGATCCCAGCCACAAACTTCCAATAGCAATATTAATTAATACAAAACATACAGCTGCAGCAGCAGCATAATTGTCATTCCATATCCATAAATACTTTGTTGAGCTKAACTTGCCTTATCCTTTTGAAAATCCAAGTATGTGATCTGGCCTGTTACTCCAATTACGTGCCACCTACTGTGACTCAGAATTACACTTTAGCCTCAGCTTTAGGTATCAGTGTTTGCAACAGTATTAATTAATTCAAACCTGCAAATAATTGCACTGCAAAACAGCASAATTCTTGAAACACATGGAAAATTATTTCATTGATTTTACTGCAAAGTAAGAAGTGTGATTTGCACTAATGCACTTCCGATGTGCTGACATGAAACAAGAATGAGCACCTCTACATCCCGGCCTCCTGCAGCTCCTACAAACAAGGCAACCAGGGGTTCCTCAGCAACCATAAACCGATCACTTTGCATGATCTGAGGCAAATCTGAGCTCCTGGACAGTTCATATTAATGCAGAGATTGTTGATATATGTTTTATCAACAGGATTGTTGATAAATATTTCATCCAATCACACGTAAGTACTGTGGCCTTATGGCACAAAGTAAAATGAAAGTCTTTGAACTACAATTAATGGAGAAGCTCAGGTTTCCTACTGGATTGTACTGTAGGTGCCACTTGGATTGTTGTTGATCAAACAGATGGGAATTGACTGAAGATTCGCCAGTTTTTGTAAAAGCTTAATTTAAAAGGATGCCTATACTGATTTATAGCAGCCAGAACAACCCTTTTACACAGACATACACACACACACACACACACACACACACACACACTTATGCAAAATAGAGCTGTGAAAACTCCTGTTTTTATAGTGTCTGTTCTGAATGTGAGAAAGATCTTGCCCCAAATACTGAGTGCAGGATGTGGAGGCAGTTGTGTGGAGACCGCCAGTTGCAGCCTGTCAGAGGCCACCAATGCTGTCTGTCATCACTGCCTCACTGAACTGGAGAATTGTTTTAATTTCTGTTGCATTGCTACAAAGCTGTACCACTCCAAACCAGGATTGTGTGGATGCCACAGATGCCCTCAGCCAAGCAGGCGGCGCTGGGATGGGTAGGAACTGGCCCAGCCCAGAGTGCAATTCTGCCTCAGGGGAGGTTTGAGCCATACCCGCAAAGCAGTCAGAGGCTTCCTCTGACCTGAATTTAAAGATGAGAGGATAGAGAAAATCTCACTTTATGTGATTTAAAACTATGCTACTAAAAAAAAAATAAATAAAAAAAATTAAAGAAAAAGAAAACCCCCTGATTTTCATCTCTGACTTTCTTCTGTGAAAGACTTAACCTAATAATCTTAACAGGAGAGTTTTTACCTCCAAACCGCTTTAGATACAAAGTGTAGGTTATCAGAAGGGTTGAATCTTGTCTGTCAATCTGGCACTTTTTACAAACATGACATTCACTTAAAATAAATGGAGGGGATTAAGTTCCATGACCCTGTATATACTGGATGAATAATTCATCCTGCAGTATTTCAGTCAGAGGAAATGAACACCAAAATCTAAACACTCATAATTAGGAGTGCAAGAACCCTATGGTGTTTATGGATTTTTAAAAMCCTAAGAATTTGTTTTAAGTGCAGAGGTTCTT